TGGAGCTTTTTCCAATTTAAATGAGCTTACTCACGTCCGGACAATTTTGCAGTTTTTCATGTTATTTACTTTCATTATTATCATAATGATGTATATTGATTTTACGTTTCTTTAATATAAAATGGTTGATTGTTGCAGTGGTGTCATATTGAACGTAATTTCGTCCCAATTAGATAAATCGGGTGTATCAATGTTTATTTACATGTTTTCCAGGAATACACACGCGACGGAAAAGCATTCGTGACGTGTCTCTCGCGAAAGGAGCGCAAATGTGATAAAACGCCGAGTATACATATCGATACGCAAATCGAGAGTTTAGCGCTCGGCGATACGACGCTAATTACTTTTCGTTGAAAATAACGAAGTGATAACAAACATTTAATACTAACATTTATAATACTGCACGTAATATTTCTTTGTGCGCCCGGCATTCCTCGTCCGAGCGTCATTAAAACGCGAAATCAGAAGTTATGTCCAAATGAAATATGCGTTTAATTCGGAATTATCGTTTGCGTCATCAGAGATATGCCGTATTACGTCACATTAATGTTAGAAAAAAAAAAAAAAAAAACAACATTATATATTATACATATATGACACGAGCAAAGGATCGATAACATAGTAGTTAGCCTTCTCTGGAATCATAGTGTTGCATATAATGACATAGTAACGCAGAAATATAATATCGCCAGGTTTTTTTTTTTTTTTTTTTTTAGCGATTATATATTACAACGTTAATAAGCTCCGCATTCATTATGCTCTGTATATGCTAATTTATATGCGCGCGAAAATAAGCGTAAAAACGTTATTATTTTTAATTATTGTGAAAAAAAAAAAAAAATAGAAGCTTCAATGATGTTGTCTGAGTTGCGCGCGCAGAGATGTGTAATTACAAATAACTTTATGCACTTGTGCGAATTTTGCGATTTTACGTCGAAGAATTTCGTAATCCGAGAGAAGATTATGAACGTCTATAAAAAATTACAACGGCCGTAGTAATAACGGCCGTATTTTTCTCCCCGAGAAAGTTTCCTGTTTCGAATCGAGTTTCCGCTTCAATCTTCCTCGCACACGTTTCGTGAAACTTCGATGTGTAACGTGTAATTTCCCGTGTATACTGCGTTTATACTCCAATACGCGAGAGGCGTCGCGACGCTGCGAGAGACGAAGAGAGGATCCAACACCGTGTTGTCGCCGTCGGTACTCGAACGAAGAAGCGAATCTTCTTCCGAATCCGAAAAGGTGAACTTTCCTTCAGCGCGGCCCCGAAACTTTCCGGTAACTTGTTTCGCTGGAAAATAGCCCAAGTTTTCTTCACGGCGACGATATCCCGAGAGCCTGGATATTTTATTCCCGACGCCAAGGTGTCGCGAGGTTACTGTTTGCTCTCGTGGCGAGTGTCGAAAGTCATCGACCATACGATCTTCAATAATATTATGTTAAAATGCACACGATTACTTGCTTATTTAATTTATAAAAACTTTGTGTTTTTATATATATATATCCTCTCTTTACTAGTATATTTATTATTTATTTATTTATTTATTTAATTATGCGATAATTTTGCAATAGAGTAACTAGAATTAACCAAGTTGCACAATCTAGAAAAAAAGGATTGGAATAACTAAGATTATTTATATATACATATAAGATTATTTACATGTAGTATTTATACATATGAAAGTATAATAGATTTTTTTATATACATGAAATATATGACAGAGCACATTTCAGCATTTTTTGCTGGAGGAAGCATTAAAGAATGTTTATATTAAAACCTGGCGAGGCATTTTTTGTATAAAGCAATTATCGCAACCGTTGCTCTTGATATTAGATTTTTATCGCTGCTTTTTCGAGGACTCGGTCGCGCGATCTTCTAACAGCTTCCGGAATTTTTGAACCGCATCTCGAACGCGATCAAGAAGGAGCAGTCGGGGCACCGCGACGGCGGCGTTCATGAAAAATTCAAGGCGGTCAGCCCGGTAATTTGAAGGCGGTTAATAGCGGGTGCATGTGATGCTGAAGAGTGGCGAGGAGTAACAGAACGACGGGAGTGCGAGCGAATGAGACGGAAAGATTCACAAGCGCGCGGGGTAAAATCGTGCACGAGCTCGGCGCGATATTTAATTCACGAGCCCTCTCTCGGTGCCGCGGCCAGGGTGGCTCGTGTCTTCCCGTCGGTCGGTGGAGGAGTAAAAAGGAAAGACGCGAAGGGGATGAACGAAGATGGATGCACGCTGCATCGAGACGAGAGAGAGGGAGAGATGCGTAGAGAGAGAGAGAAAGAGAGAGAGAGAGAGAGAGAGAGAGAGAGAGAGAGAGAGAGAAAGAGGAATAACGGAGGAAGAATGAGAGAGAGCGAGGCCTCATTTCCATTAGCGGCATGCATCATACAGAAACTGGCTGGACTATACACGAGTGTGCTACTGCACGTCGAAACAAATTGAGATGCAGACTGCTGCTGAATGACGCCGACGGACGCTGTCTCTGTGAGCGTCGAGACACCACCGTCGTTCATCCGACTCTTCGCGTGCCGCGTTTCTTCCGAAGGTGATTTTCCGCTTACCGGCATTGTAAGCATAATATTAAAAAAGGCGTGGGATACAATATCGCGTATATTAATACCAGCCAATTAAAATTTACTTCGTGTATACAAACGCAAGAACAAAAATGCAAAATTAATTATGTTTCGCGGAATTTCTTGCCAATTATAGAATATCTCATTATAATACAATATCTAATTAGAACATCTAATTAATCATGTTCTCTCCACGAAATTCCTAAATAAATATAAAATATCTAATTATCTTATTAGATTGTGTAGCAATAAATATTTTAGTAGAAATAATTCAACGATCTCTCTCTCTCTCTCTCTCTCTCTCTCTCTCTCTCTCTCTCTTTCTCTTTCCTTTTTACAATAAAATTACTTGTATATAACATCTACTTCATGTTAAAAATAAATTTTTCAAACAAGATTGATTTTTATCGAATTCTGGAAGTCTTTCGGAATTTTACGCGGGAAAGACGGTCGAATAGGCATTGTATTATATTTTGAGTGCAATGTAAGAACGATAGGAATGTCTGAAAAACGAGAGAGAGAGAGAGAGAGGGAGAGCAACTGGAGGTGGGCAACCGCGATATGTAGGGACGCTCGCAATTTTCTCGTCAATGCACACGTCAACCGGCACGTCGCGTATGCACTCTGCGCGGTGTATTCGCGAGTTGCAGCGCAGCGTGGAACAGGCACGGAGGGTGGTAAGCGGGGTGGACATGAGACAATGAAAAATGCACGCGCCACGATATACTACTTGCGCGTCCAAGTTACAACTACAGAGCAGACTCAGTTTCTCCCTCTCCCTCTCCCTCTCCCTCTCTCTCTCTCTCTCTCTCTCTCTCTCTCTCTCTCTCTCTTCCTATCTTCCTCTCTCTCTTTCTCTCTCTTTTTGTCTCTTTCTTTCTTTTTCCCTTTTTTCTTGTCTCCCCTCTCTTGGTTTCACTTACGCGTCCTCTTCCGCCGAGGCTCGTCGGAAACAGCGAAACGGGCTGCTCAATAATTCTTTGTGTGGTTTAGCCGAGAGATGCGTGTGCACGTGTATTGACGCGGGGCTATTTCGCGAAATTGCCAGCCTTGGTGCCATCCCCCTCGTGTCACGACGGTGGAGACATTATTTCGCTGCACCGGCTGCCGCGCCTTTTGCTTCCTTCTTTCGTGGAAAGACCCAACACGATCGCTCCGATGACCGCGAGAAATCCAGAAAACCGATATACGATAACTGCGACAGCGGCGAGGAGGGTGCATTTGAATTAGGTCCCGAACAAATTAAATATGCAGCACAATTCAAGAGAGTCTCTGTGTTTTCTTCATCTCTCCATGCGTTTTTCGACAAACTGAAATGTATATTAGTTAATAAAAAAAATTATCCGTTTATGTGGCATATTAAAAAATTGAAAAATTCTTGCAATAAACATTATTTAAATTATATTTTTTATCATTTTTTCTCATAATACGAAAGAAATTTAACACTTAAATAAAAATATTCCTTTGGTGGCAGGATGATGGCGCGCACAAGTGAGAACATTTCTCGCAAAGCGTTCTTCAAACAGAAAGAGCATCCATATCTCCAGAAGCGTAACTCGCGGATCCGCGAAACTTTTCCCGGCGCGAGCGAGTGCGTGAGAACACAAAAAACTCGTGAAAAAAAATGAAAGAAACGGAACGAAAGAATTTGAACGGTGATCGGGGCCGCATTCGAGCGACCCTTAAAGTTAATTTGAAAAGTCACGAGCGAGAACCCTGACCGTGTAAGTACAGCGTATAGTGGGAAGTATATCGTGGCATATGTGCTCGCGATATTGCGAAAATCGCGAGATCCGAATGCGCGGTAGGGCAGAAGGAGGACGAAACTTTTCAAATGAGCCAACTTTGGGTGTGTCTTGCGCTTTTGGTGCTCCGCGTCTCGCAAAACCCCTTTCGAAAGCCTCGCATATTAGCAAAGTTGTTGGTTGAGGTGAATAGCTCCGATTACCTCAGTATGTACACGATTTTTCTCTCCCAGAGTCCTGGAAAATTTTCGAAAAGTTACGTTGTTTCGGAAAAAAACTCCATGTTACACAAGAGAGCTTACATTTTTTTTATAATAGTTATTTTTTTATTTTTATTTTTTTTTTATAACATTTTAAGAATTTTTAGAGACTTATATATTGTTTGTGCAGATATGCTATATGTACTATATTATACAATGTGTGTAATTGTGAAAAGACCGAGATAAGTGCAACGTCAGAATGAAAGCCACCGGAATTAAAATACTTTAAACTTCTTTCGCTTAGGCGATTCCCGATTAAATAATTATCCCGGCGCAACTCTCGTTTTGCTTCCAACTAGAAAAAGAGATTGCTCGGATACCGGATTAAGTCGTTTTCCCAGCCGGCCGTTAAATCGCCGCTAATCGCCGTTCCAGCACGCTGCTGACGTCTGACCGACCGAAACTTTTCTGTTTCAGGCCAAGTTGTTGGAGTCGTCCCACGCTTGGCTCGGCGCCTCCACCTCCAGTATAGCAGGTGAGTTACATTTTTCGTTTTTCTCCTCTTCGTCTCGTTTCGGTACATTTCAGGAGATAATCGCCCTCTCAACACCCGACCCCTTTTCCTCCTGTTCGGACGTACGTTCCGAAGCCTCTACATTAGGCAAACGCATACACAAGCGCGCGCGCCAACGTCTGGTCTATTTCTATGCACACAGGGTGTTTTTGCGTCAATCGCCCTTTTTTTTCATCGATATAATAAATATGAAGAACTGAAAGAAGTAAAATTAATATAAAATAATAATTAGAGTTAAATATCTTTATTCGTGAAAAATATCAGTTGTATTTGTATAATTTGTTTGTTTAAAAGAGTAAAATCGAATTGAGACTAAAAAGATTATTTATATGAATGAAAAAATACTAATTGCAATACAATTTTAATAATTTTTCTTTCATTTTGTATTAACATTATTTTTTTTTCAAATATCTTACATAGCGTTTATCGTTAAAGAAAAATACAATCGAGTGGAAACACCCTTTGTAACCTGTTTCGCGCGCGTTTAAAGACATTTCACATTTCTCTTTTACAATATATATATTTGTCGCACGATATACCACTGCTGTATATATCTGTCGCACGACGAAATCTCGACGATCGGGTGTCCCACTTCGTAAGTAACGACTGATTATCCCTTCCGAGTTCGAGAGGAGATTCCCTCCTCTCTCAAACATCCCTCGAGGGTTGTCGACCGATCTCTAGGTAGCTTCGCTACCAAGTTCATGGTCACGTGGTGATTCTGTTCGTTGAATCTCAACTTGGAACGTGACAAGCCTCGTTCCAGAAACGCAAACTCCGACGACGCTCTCGTGTCGAATTTGCAGACTTCGAGTTTACATCTATATCACTATTCGAAGATCAATATGCGTTTGCTGCTTACTCTCTCTCTCTCTCTCTCTTTCTCTTTCTCACTCTATAAATGTTATACTTTAAATCTTACGCGATAAAGGAATAAGACCGTCGTCGTCGGTGGAACGACGTTGTTGACGATTACGGGAGGTGGCAACGAACAGAGGCCGAGATGGAAAGTCGAAGGTGATGGCCGAAAGGCAATAAACGGCACGCGGGAAGAGGGCGAGCGCGCACCACGTCATTACACTGGCAATAATAAAGTGCAGGAATGCGTTTTGCTTTAATATAGAAAGCAATTTAGATAGACGGTCGAGTGGCCGACGCCAGTTAATAGCGTCGATAACACGCCCGCGATTCGCAATGCCCAGCGCCAAAGCTCGCAGCGCGCAATACTTTACGCACCGACGCGACTGCGCCTTTGCGTGTGATTCTCCGCGCTTGAACTTCGAGTACTGGTAGTAGTAGTTGTTTCATGAGAAAAAAAAAAAAAAAAAAAAGAAAAAAAACCTAAAAACCTTCAATTTTCACTAGTACGTCGTGTCAATTCGCGGGTCGAAAGATAAACGTTGTTTTAAGATTAAATAGCAGCTGCGATAATAAACACACGCGCTTTTAACCCCACGCGTTTGTATATGTATATTCGAAAAGGCACGAAAAGTTATTTATACTTTGCATAATTGTATGTTTTTGTTCTACGAGTACGCGGCGGACGCAAATGCTCGCGTCGATTCGAGTAAACACGCGATTTGCATAAATATATATTATCAATCTTCATAAAAATTTGTGGATGCGCGCGTTTTGAAGGACAACAAAAATAACATGAATTTTTTTTTTTTTATCACCGATAAACACGTACGTCATTTCCCGTTATTTTAAAAATGTGTAGTGTAGAGAAATTTACGCATTATCACAAATGCAAATATATATAAATGTGTAATGTTATTTATAAAGGAAAAACGTGTGTGTTCAAGCGACGTTTCCTTCGGTCGCATGTTCTTCGCGTTTGACTTCGAACTCTGATTTGCCGCAGTACGTTCGGCCGAGACCATAAACGCGCATAAACGCACATAAAAGCCGCAATATGCTTCTCGAATTGATCCTTGGCTATCGTCGTGCGTACGTGCATGCGTGCATGCATGCGTGTGTTCACACGTGTGTTGAATTGCGCGCGTAGGCGTGTGTATCCCCATCTGATTCGCTTTAAATCATTTTCTTCGATTACTCCTTGACTTCCCATGAGACGCGCCGTAGCTGTCGGCTGTTTGCTTCTCTTAACGATATCGCGCTTATTTATCCCGCGCTTTTCTCGTTCGCGCAAAAGCGTTTTTCTCTTCCTCTCTGTTTCTCTCTGTTTCTCTCTGTCTCTCTCTCTCTCTCTCTCTTTCTCTTTCTCTTCCTCGAAATATCAAATTCCTTTCCGACTTCTATTTCGCATGCGCTTCGAAAATTGAAAGAAAATTGTTTTACTTATTCCTGCAATTTGAAACGATTAAGAATGGATGAAGCAAGTCAGTAATCAAATTGATACGTGATTTACGCGTACCTTTTGAGAGCGTGATTGTCTAAGTATGATTGTTTGACGAGTTGCTAATCTGAGAAAACGTACTCCGCGCGCGCGCGCACAAACCTGCAAGTTGCGTATACGCGCGACAAAACGCTATTGTATGATAATATTATTCGCGACGCGATTATTCCAGTCCGGATTTAGTTATGACGTCATTACACACACGATACGAATAATACTTTTTTCTTTTCGCTCTCTCTCCCTCTCTCTCTTTTTTTTTTTTTTTTTTTTTTTTTTTTTTTTTTTATTTCACCGATGATCGTTCCCGGCGGTCGTGGACCGATCGATTCGCACGCGAAACGAGATTATTCATATTTCACTGCAATCGGATTGTTATGCAAAAAGAAGGCAACTTTCAATTTTTCGGGGGTTTTTTTCAATTTCTTTCCCGGTGAAACATGAATATTAAGCGATAATATTCAAAATAGCATTGTCGGAATTACTCGAACTATCGTAATTTGTCAACGTCAATTTTCGTAGATTCTCAGCGTCAATGAAAATATGCGAGAAACGAGAATTTGGGATTTGTCTATAATAGATGATGATGTTTTGTTGTGTTCTCTATACTCTTATATTTCAAGAGCGTTTGCTCTCTTTAATTTTGGAGAGAGTTAATTCCTTCTCGCGTAATTATGCGCAATTCGCGAACCAGAAATCGGCGTGGCACGGCACCGCATAAATCGCATGGCCGACGTGAGTGACGTTAACTGCTGCTAACACGCGTGGGTGTGACGCGCTCTATGGACCACAGTAGCCGTTTCCCGCTTCTCCCTTTCTCCCTTCCTTCGTCTTCTCTCGTCCTGGTCCCTTTCGCTTTGAGTTACGCAGCAAGCCGCGAACGAAAGGAGGTAATTATAACAGACCGAATAATTACAATATTTACTGTCGATGTGATAAAAGACATATATAATGCAAATAAAGTCGAAATCATCGTTTTCTTTTTTAAATCTTCGAAGCTCTCGTCGAAATCAGCGCATTAAAATTCGTAAGGATTATCAGAAAAGCAGTTATTTTTATTTCACTCTTGGTTTGGTTTTAAAATAAATTATTATAATTGATAATATATAATAAATGTTATATATTTGATATATAATATAATTGATTTATTTATTAAATTGATTTATATATATATATATATATATAATTATTAAATCATCATTTCAAAGGAATAAATTTTGAGAGCTTATTATTACAAATTTGACATATTTTTACTTTACGTTGCCACTTCCCAAAGTATTATCGTTTTCATTAGTAAATAAATTGTGTGACGTAATATAAAGCAGCAATATGTATATTTCTTAATACACTTTTCTATTTTTCTTAAGTAATCATTTGCTCTCAATTTGCAAGATACTATAATATTTCTCTGAATTTTTTCCTCGATATTTCTTTGTTTATGTGTTTTTTTCTTTTTTTTTTTTTTTAACTCTCTTCTTCAGTCTTCATTTCTTATGTTTATGACTGTTCTTCTTTTATTTTATCGTTATTCGTCTTCTTTGCGAAAAAAATGATCCTCTTTTCGCAAATATCTCATTCTGATGACATCTTAATCTCACAAATTTTTGTGATAACACACTTCGCTCTCGTTGTATCGTGTCTATCAAATGTTCGCATCGAACACGATCAAATAAAGAATATATTCTATGACGCGAGTTTTCTAATCGCGAACAAAAAGAGGAAAAAAGATAAAAGGAGAGAAGCACTCTCTGTCAGAGAGCGCGCAAAAGTGTGACTTTTTCCACACCGTCGATTTTCTCCAGATGCGGTTCTTTTTCCGCAGTTTCTCAAATGCGAAAACAAAGCAAGTCGCGAGACGAGAGAGAGAGAAAAAAAAAGTCGAAAAGAAATCGCTGACTATTTTCTAGCTGACTATACGAGCCTGCTGAAGCTGAAGGCGCCCACGTGGACGCGGAACGATCTTCACGAGGCGATGGAGGCCGTGGTGACCCAGAAGATGCGCTTTACCCAGGCGTCGACTAAGTACGGCATCCCCAAGGGCACCTTGTACGACAACATCCTCGGCAAATGCAAGAGAATGATGATCCTCGAGAAAGCGAACCTCGACCCGAACGAGGAAACCGCGGTGCTCGAATTCTGTTGCGATATAAGCGTTAGTCCGTACAATCGGCGCACGAAAAAATCGTTAAACGCGATATTAGACTTTGTCGAGCGGATCAAGCGGAAGCGGGATCCGAAATTCCAGTTCGCCGGCCTGGAAGGCTTCCGTTGGTGGTGGGCCTTTTGTAAGAAACACTCGATAGTCTCGCTCTACTTTAACGACGAGAACGAGAACGGCGCCGACTCCTCTTAATGTCGGTCCCGCCGAAGATCGAGATCGATCGCGGAGAGAGACGCGTGGGTTCTTTTCACAGCGTACTAAAAACTAGAGAAAAATGTTCGTAAACACGCGACGCGATTTCATGCGTGAATTCATTAACCGCGTAATTAAACGCGCACGATGATTATGTAATATTTATAAAATTGCTCGTATAAGTTGGCGGATAGAATTTTGCTTCAACTTCGTCCAGTTCGATAGAATAATAAATATTAGCCTTTTTCGACTGATGTAATTTTTAAATAATCGCGGACATAATCCGAGCCGAGATTTCGCCACGATTTCGTCTCTCTCCCGATTCTCTCGCGAAAATTGCCAGCCGGCGACGGCGATTCTTTTTTGCCTCGCGCGGACGATAGGAAAAATGTGCGGAAAATTTTATGTCCCGGCGACAACGAGTTCGTTCGGACGACATTAAGGCAAAGGGAATATAATAAGCCGGATTTCGAGCGACGTGCCGTCGCGGCAATGTGACTCGTTACTCTGCAACTTTTCTTTATTTACTTTCCCGAATGCGATCTGCTGCTACTCGCATCCTCGGAACCGCCAATGATCGACGCGCGTGTTTCGGAATAAAAATCACCGCTCGATAACACTGGTTTGATTATATACATATATATGTATATATATATCTCAAAATAACACGACGAACGCAATTTCTTTAAAAATTGTACGGTTCGTCTTTCCGTTACGTTTGTTACGCACTCGAGCGATTTTTTATTCTGTGTCTTCCAAAACCGGAAGTGCGTCAAGTTGGTCGACATAATGTTATAACAATTAACTTGTCTGTTTTTTTTTTTTTTATAAAAAAAAATTATTGAAATACGTTTGCGAGCGAATTTCTGCGATTCGTTAAGACTTAGAGAAGACACTCGGTGTTCAAATTATTAGTTTGTAGTTTAGAAGTAGAAAAAAAATGTTTCATAAGACTTTTTTGTTTTTAAGCACAACGTCAAACTAACGTCACCCGTTCTCGTTTCGAGATGTGTATTGCTACTGCAAGCGACACTGTTTTTTTTTTTCTTTTTGTTTTCTTCTTTTTTTCTTTTTTTTTTTTTTGTGCTCTCTTGCATTAATTCTTTTGGGACATATATACAAGCGGAGAGCAGACAAACGACGCGCAAATCCTGTAGACTTCAACAACGGAAAAATCGCTGCACAAGCAGGGTCGCCGCGGGAAGAATTTGCCTGCTAATTGAAAATCGAACGCCACGTTGCGTCGTGTGCGCGCGCGAGCAATCGCGCGAAATAATAACGCGGTAAAATCGGGGAACATTAATGGGCAAAAAATGTCTACGTTCGATTAAATTTAATATCCATCAGAATCGATTGCATCAACGGCGATTAGCGCAGTTATTCCCCCGTGACAATATTTATCTTTTTTCCTTAGTATCCGACGCTTCTGAAAAGTAATAGAATTTCCACGATACGCTGTGTGTATATAATAAGAGAACTAATCCACTTATTTGTTAATAACTCGATTCGCTGGAGGAAAGAGTAGAAAATACGCGCGCTCGGAAAAAAAAAAAAAAAGGAAGCCAAAAACTGTGATGCATGAAATGCAAAGTATTCATTATTGAAACCTTTTGCAACAAAACGGTTTATTACACAATTAACGTGACACAGAAATGTTGCGTTACACGTTACGTGATCTTTTGTTTTTGTTCTTGAAATCAAAAAAGAAAATGCGAAAAAGAAACTAGTTTCGCACATAAAACAAAAGTAGCGCCGCGAGATGTCTTCGAACGTGTCGCTGATTTTGTGAATCGCACACAAAAAACTATTATATTTCACTCGTATAAATAATCTAGTATAGTAAAATAAATTTAGTGCCTTTTAAATCTCCGTCTTCCACGCCGCGTCAATCAACGAGAGACCGGTATTGTGCGAGAGATATACACTTGCCTTTTTGGCACACAAATGTTATGTATATGTATATTGTATATTTGACAATCACTACGTGTATCCTCGAAACGACGGGACCAAATTGTTGCTCACGATCGCAATTAGATATTTTTCTACGAATTTTATCATTAGCGAAAATAATAAATTTAAGTTATTAGGTTGCCGTATCACCGGCGCCGACTAAACGTTGGCACGTTTAGTTTGTTGTCGACATTAATCATAAGATAATTATGTTTCTAACATTAGGATTATTACGAAGATAGACGACGAAAGAAAACAAGCGCTTTTTTGCGCGAAAACACGCGCATTTTTGTTAACATTCCAAATCTGATTACACGGAATAATCGCATTTATGAAACGAAAACTCACGAACATATTCTTTTCTTGTTAAAAAGTGTTAAAGCTAAAGTGAAGAAAGATCTGAACGATGATTTATGAAACGCGCGAGAATCAAACCGAGTGAAGGAAGTATGTCAGACATTATTAACGAAAAAAAATAGTTGATTTATGTAAGTGACGCGATAATTTTTTTTTTTTTTTTTTAACGAAATCGAAACGCGCGTGTAATTTGTGTACGTATAGCGAAGTATTGCTTGCAAATCTTAAGCGATCGTTGTAGCTTTACATGACGCTTCTCTTATTTTATTAACGGAATAGCACGAGCGCGCGAAATAAATGCGCGAATAAATATTCCGAGATAAAAACGTAAATGGAAGTGGAGCAAAGCATATAAAAAGCTACATCTAAATATAATATCGGCTCGATTCGCCGCACGCAACTTAAAGTGTAAAATCTTGATAACGACAGATTATCTCCCATTCGGCCTCTGGTTCATATATTTATTCATAAAAATAACATATAGCGACTTGGCGTGTTATTTTTTTTTCTTTTTACACACCCTACGCGTACTTCGCTCTCCGCAATGAAACTTAAATTACCCCAACTGCGAAATATACATCTTGATGCGGCGATATGTCATCGTGCGCGTTGCGTCAGAGTTAAAGCGGGCTCCGCCGCGCTCGTGCGGCTCTCTCTCTCTCTCTCGAAATACTTTTTTTTTTTATGCTAAAACCAGGCATACTTTCCTCACACGCGTTTAGCTCTCGCCTCGTCCGTGTGAAAAATTCCATTCCATAAAACGAATAATGGTAATACTTGAAAGTGACGGCGACGAATGATATTAGATTACTCCCGCCGCCGAAGCGTGTCGCGCGCGCGCGCGTTATATTTCTATTGGTGTGTATTCGCATCCTGCGCGCGCGGTAACGGAGGGAGGATTTAAAAAAAAGAAAATAAAAAAAAAAAAATAAACGACTCAATTACGCGCGAAGCACAGAGCGGACGTTAATAGGGTACACTTTAGACGGCCGACTTTTTGCGGCAATTATCGATTGCGACGTGTGCTGTGTTCGTCGAATATCACCCGGCAATGAGCAACTAACATCCAGCAATTATCGATCAACGTGCGGCAATTAATATCGCGGATTCGTCGATCCCCGAGACCTTTTCTCGCGAAAGAACGCGAGTATGCCGATTTTCTCGACGAGAATAATTGCAGTCGAGATGCGAATCGAATAGAAGAAAAATTTCGTCGAAATCATTAAAACTCATGTTCCTACGTCATATATAATCGTCATTATTCGTTATAAAAAGAGTGATATATTAATGAATTATTGTTAATTAAAAAAATCATTCCGATACACGTTTCGATCGGTTTTTTTTTTCCGATTGTGTTAAGTGCAAGCTCTCTCCGCGAGTGGAAAAACGACACCTTACCTCTTCTCGACGAACGCGTTGGTGTTCTTTTCGCGTCACATTATCGCCGATTGTCGCCCTCCGAGGACTTGCAGCTACGTGTATTTACGAGCGGGACGTTAATTGAATCCCAGCGAGAACGATGTAATATTATATTGGTGTTATCGCGCGCGTCCAACGCTAAAGGTGCGCGACACGCCGAGTGCAACATAAGCGAGGCGCGTTTAAAACCGAGAAAGAAAAAGAAGGCAAAAGGAATTACAAGAGAAAATTAAGTGCGAATGAGCGGTATTAAAATAGGCGCATGCGATATTCTCTGATAGAATATCGAGAGGACAATACTCGCGACGGCCGTAAAACGGCCGCGTTTATATTACGATGGTGCTACCGCGTAAAGTTTCCTCGCGAGCTGTAAAATGTAAATTCTGCGAAATTTTGCGAACAATTTCTCAGAGGTAGCAAGAGCGAATTTCTCATTGTGCCGCATATATTGAGAAGAACTAGATTTTTTTAATAAATAATCGTTCGGGACACATGTATGTCGAAAGTAGAAGAAGTTCTTTAACTGTAAATGCGCTTTCAAAGTTTTCTCGAAAAAGCGAGAATCCACAAAAAAAAAATGTACTTAGTAGTTTTTCTTTACAAGAAAATCTTTACGCGCGAAATAAGCGACATTAATAATTGCGAATGCACTGAGGTTTTCAAGTTTAAGATTTTCGCATTCTCGCGGTATATTTCAGCAACGTTTTTGTTATGATTCGATTGCGCGAGAAAACATCGTCGAATGTGACAAACAAACACGTGCGCGATTTTAAAGTGTTAAACGCGCCGCGAGAATGCGAGTCTAAGAATAGACGGAATAGCCGCGCGCACGTTTTCCTATGAATTGTATTAATTGTCAAATTGGTCAGGAGGCTTAATTAAAGCCAATAACTTAACTATTAAATAATCGTTGCGAATTGAGGCCGGCCATACGTGCCATACACAAGCGGCGGAAGTTACTGTAGACGCTGCCGGATATTTCTTTCATCTCGTTAAGTTCTCTTTTTCTTGTGAATTCTTTTCCGTTTTCTTCTAGATAGTTTTTTTTTTGTTTTTTTTTTTGTTTTTTTGGGTATAAATTGTCTCTGCAACGTTAAAAAAAAAAAAAAAAAAAAGAAAATACTCTACCGCGTCATGACCTCTTAATACATTATGCATGTGATAAATTGTGTGTGAAGAGCGACACGTTGTACCCTTTATTCGCGAGCTCTTGATCCGACATGCTGACATTAAAAATAAAGCAATTATAAAATTGTCTAAAAATTGCAGATTATTCAAAAACGTTAGCTTTAATTTCATTTCAATAAAATATTTCTAGCGTGCTCGGCAGTTGAAAAAAAAAAGTACAATATGCTGCTTATACAATTGAATTTATTTTATTCCACTGAAACACATCGTCCAATAAAAAGTTCAAAGTACTCTATATACGATTATTAATTTTTAATCGACTAATAATTTTTTGCGCGCACGATATTTTCTTAAAACTAAGTGAATTGTGATGCGAGGTATGTTGCAAAATACCAGTTCTGAACTGCTCTCTCGATTTATATATAAGATGCGTTTTAGAACACATACTTCCCGAGAGAGCTTACGCAACGCAATAATTGTGTTTATAACGTTTAAGTATCATTATAACACACGCTGATCGATGTGCTTATATTGTTAACGACAAACATTCGATTTTTGTAACACTCTGTAACGATTGTACGACAATACAATCGACATTTGATTTCATCCAGAAAAATGTAATTTCTTATAGATTTACTTGCCATAACCTGTTCGCACACTCACACACACACACGCACACACACGCATACACACACACACACACACACGTGCTCACATTATCTGTCTTCCTTAAGCGTTGTTTTTCAGGTGATTTCGCTCAAGGTATAAAGATTTCAGATGCACTTGTATGCGCGTCTCGAGACCGCGCGCTTATCGATTTGGCGTAAAAATTGCATATCCGCGGAATCGACGATGCGTGTGCCCCATCGTTCGATTTCACAATCGTAACGTGAGTGAGAGCTCTGCAAGAATTTTTGCACGCGCAAACAATTAATAAAAGAACCATGCAATAATGAGGATAATTTATTTTTTCATCCTATTTATATTTTTCCTTCTCCTACATCATCTCTGAACTAGGCGAACATCTTGAACTAATAGCTGCCTTTCTGTGTTTTCTCTTTTTCACGGGGGGCGTTAACTAGCAGACAGCTACCAGTACCAACTACAATCCATGTGGCAGAAGTGCTGGAACACCAACCAGAGTCTGGTGCACAATCTGCGCTTCCGGGAACGCGGACCCCTCAAATCCTGGCGGCCGGAGACCATGGCGGAAGCGATCTTCAGCGTGCTGAAAGAAGGACTTTCCCTCAGCCAGGCGGCAAGGTACGTTCCTGATAAACAAATGTGTCAACAATATATCTGCACACAATTTCAAAAACAGTTAACAAAATATAAAAAAATAAAATAAATTTTTTAAATCGCAATAATATATATATATACGCAAAAATAAATAATATTAATAAGTTGCACATTTTAAGCGCAGAGAAATTTTACGATTTTAATTGTTAGGTAATTAGATGCAAGAAATCATTTATTTATCAACACTTTGGTAAAAATCGGACTATCCCTGCACGTCACATGTAATATTAAAATTAATCGACATAACATATTAATTGCATAAAAATACCCGTTTCCAACCATGTTTTGTAAAAATAATTTATTTCATTTAATTGCGCTTTTTCAGCGTGCATATATAATATTTTAATACCGGCTTTTTGATAGAAAATACGTTAATTTAAAAAAAAAAAAAAAAAAAAAAATATTGAAGTGCCTCCTCCTCCCGTATACATCACGGCGGCAAATAATTAATTTAGTTGTAATCATTTTCCGTATGCGATAAACGGTGGTATGTGTATCCTTCAACATCTATAGCGCGGAATCGATAATAAAATTAATAATAAACTACGCGCAATTGCATAAAACTGTGTGCGGTATTCAGTATTGACAGCTAACTAATGAAAAGTGTTAATATAAAAATTGAAGAGTTATTTTAATTGCTGGCTCCCAAGAGCGCTCACCGACACCGGCCGGTGTGTGTTCTTGCGCGACGTTAATAAATTATATTCAAAAAGTAAATATTTTATTGCTCTTGTATGCACTCGCGTCACGTTGTTTCCTCTGCGTCACCGACTCACGCAATGTATCGAATAAATAGTTAAAATTGTTATATAAATGTCTTATGATGCGGCGCGTACAATAGAACCAAGTTATTACGCAATGAAAAATTCCTGGAAATTATATACTGCATCAGGCATACCTTATCGCCGTGTCTGAATCATGCTAAATAATCGTCCGATCTGATGTGTTGCTGCTGTTGCTCTCCGAAGCAGCTGCTTTAAAATCATTTGCGCGCAGGCGTCGTAAAGCCTGTATATCACGTTTGCATAACAACGTCGACTCGCCATTAAAGGGATTTCTTTTAATTCGCCTACAAACGATTCAATAAAGCGCGGCTTTACGAGCGACAAGCGATAATTTTTATGATAATCGACTCGTCGGTCGATAATGCGCCTAATGCATTGCGTCGTGTAACGGCTAAGTTATTTTACATAAAGTTTTTACTTAATCTAAATGTTTTTTTTGTTTTGTTTTGTTTTGTTTTTGTATAATGCGCTTATTTTTTCAAATAGTCTCAAGTTATAAGCAGAAATATCTACCTACGTGTATGTGATAATAATCGCATAGATAACAATAATACATATATGTATATATATGTATAAGGACAGTGAATTTTGTCGGTTTCTGCGAGAAGTGTTGCATTATTTTGTCAAACGTGCAATATCGCTGGCTGGTACTGCCCCCGCGCCGTTGCATAATTTCGAGAGATTGCATAATTTCCATTGCCATGCATTCAAATATGTTTCACTGAATCTTTCATCTCATCGGTTTCGGTAAAATTAATATAAATTAAAGAGAAACTGAGAATGAAATTGACATGAAACAAAATAACACATAACGATAAAACTCAGTCGAGACAACGGAATGAAAAGAAAAAAAAAACGAAGAGAAGGATAGAAAAACTTTATAAATAAACGCGTCCAATTTTGTTTCTCTTTCAGGAAATATGACATCCCCTATCCGACGTTTGTTCTGTACGCAAATCGAGTGCACAACATGCTGGGTCCCAGTGCCGACGGAGGGGCCGGTGAGTGTTAGTTGCCAGTTTCCTCAGAACGCCTTCAGTAATCTCAGAAACGCCTCCGCTTCTCGTTCTATTTCTCAATGATAAGGGCGAGATCAATGTCGACGCTAGATCGGGACTCAAGGACAGCAAGTTGTTGAAAGAATATAACGAGACGTAACGATACACGTTTATATTAAAATAAAAATAGAATTACCATCTACGCTACATAATCTGGAAAATATGATTATCACGTAAGAAATTCATGAATATATATTAAAAGTACGTGTAAAAACAATTGCGTTTTTTTTTTTGTATTGAAGAAAAGTCTCATATTTGTTTAATTCCAAGCGTGTATAAAAGTTCCGCCGTCTCAACGTTTCCGTCGTCACCTCAGACGTTCTCAGGACCCTAGTTAACCGCGCGAAGAACTCGCCTGATGGACCGCAACGGTGTAGCCAATTGTAAATAGTTAATAAGTGACGGCTGATCAGGAAGGGAATAGTCCAAAGACTCAGTTACGCTCATAAAATCCGCAATTACGTTGCATGATTACGTCGGCGCGTTACGGCTAGGCTAGCATTTAATGTTAACGCTTAGTTACGCATCTACCACATTATTACCGTCACATTCTTTGACCGATTCTCACTGTTGAATAATTTTACTTTTATTTAGACGCCGATTCAATAATCACTCGCGAAAATTTTTTCAACAATTTATTTCTATCGTCAAATTTGTGTCCATTCACACACACACACACACACACACACACATACACATATAGTATCTTTGTTTTTAATTGACATAAATTCTTTAATGATTATAAAAATTCTTCGTCGGCGATCTCGTCAGTCTCAAAATTCTATTGAGCTCTTATCAGTTTTTCAATAAGTCGCACAATCTTGAAAATTTGCTCGAGAAAAAAAACGAATAGCGGAGGATCCATCGTGGTAGAATCTAGGATTTTAGAACTGATTATCAGTGAAATGAATTTTTTTTCTCGTTCTTTTCCTTTCATCTCCTACTTCCTTCCCACCTGTAGATTTGCGTCCAAAGGGAAGAGGAAGACCGCAGAGGATCTTATTGGGCGTCTGGCCAGACGAGCATATCCGCGGTGTGATTCGCGCGGTGGTATTCCGTGACGGGCACTCACCCCATATCGTTAAAGAGGAACCGACCACGATGTATCCCAGCCTGGCGAACTATGCGACCTGCAATGGACCGGAAGGTGCGGTTAGTCCGGGCGCAGCAGCCGCAGCCGCAGTCGCGGCGGTCGCTCAAGGTAAAAGTTTTTTTTTTTTTTTGTAATTCTATCGAAATATTGATTGACGCTCCAAATGTTTACTTTGTAAACGTTTACATTTTTTACAAAGAGAGACAATGAGAAATAAGTTCACGTGATTTATAACAATTTGCGCATTTAACATTTCTTTAATAGTTTTTTATTCATAAATAGCATATTAAGTTTGCATAGATTTTTATTAGAAATTTACAGAAATTCTAATATCTCTTTCTTCATCTTTGTCATACGTCAGGTCTGCGACATCAAATGTGCAGCATGGTGGCCGCGGCGCACTCGCAGCAACACGATATGATGGCGACGAATCTGTCGACGAGCCTGTCTAGCAGTCTGTCATCGAACCTGCAGGCAGCAATGCAGGCCAGTCAGCATCACAACAACAACAACACGAGCGGCAGCAACGCAAGTGGTCTCGGCGGCAATAATGCTGGCAACAATACGGGCAATTCTCCGTTGAATCTCGGTCTGGCGAGTCCAGGCTCAGGTGGACCGCCCGAGAGCCCGATGGAAAGTCCCTTGGCGAGCCCGTTGGGCCCGCTGATGGACCCGAGTCACATACCCAGCGT